GCGCCCAAGAGGCCCCCGAAGGGCTCCCAAGAGGCCCCCGGGAGGCCCGTAGACGCCCCCACGAGGCCCCCAGGAGGCCCCCAAGCGGTCCCAGGAGGCCCCCCAATTGCCCCCCCAAGCACGCAAGCAAGCGCCAGCGATGCTACAATATGGGCCGGCGGAGCGAACGAAGCGATCCGCCGCCCCGCGGGGCGCGGCGTGCGAGACGCCCACGCAAGATCTCCAATTTTTTTCCATTGAATCACCTGCCCACGCACGCCCTGCCCTTCCTCAGAGCTCTCGCAACCCCTCCCGGGGTCCTCCCCGCGGCCCGCTCGTTCCGCCGGCACGGGGGCCCCGGCTGCGGAACGGGCGCCTTCTGGCCGCCACTTCCGCCCCAAAACCGCTTCTTTTTCATGCGCTACGCTTCCGGGCGCCGCCGCGTCCCATCAGAGACCTCTCCTAGGGCCCACCGGGCTGGCTTTTAGAGCTTCCCGGGGCCCTCCTCGGCTAATCTTCACCGTCCTTCAAGCCAGTTCCGGCCGCCCCAGATGCCTTCCCACCTCTCTTCCAGTCACGTGCGCCAGAAGACTCACACAAGCAATACACATCGTAAAACACATAGGATGATGACGATTATGGCCTTCTCGGGATTATCCTTGCGCCTCTCTTGGGGCCCCGGTGCACCTCTGCGGGCTACTGCGGCCATCTTGGAAGCAGTGGGTGCTCCCTCTGGCCGTCCTGGCAGACTTTCGGACCCATCTGAGGCCGTCTGGCCGCACTTTTGGCGCCCTCTTGAGCCGTCTTGGGCGCGCTCAGGGGGTCCCTGGAGAGCTTTCTGAGGTCCCAGAACTAACTCGGACCGCTTTGTTCACCTCTCCGCATCCCTCTTCCATGTCGGCCGCCGTTTTCTGGAATTTTGGATGCCCTTTTGGGCTGTGTTCGAAGCCTCCCAGAGCTCTCTATGGTTGTTTTTTGTTCGACTCTCTTGGGGCGCTCTGGCGCTGACTGGTCCGCTTCAAAAGTCATTGGACAGCGCGTCTCGCTTCCGTTCATTTGCGTCGTCCGCCGACCTCCCCTCGCGAGAAGTCCAGAAACGTGCGAGGAACAATGGATTTGCTTTCCCCGTCTGAGGGCCCAACAATGGCTTATGTGCGCTTGATTCTGCGTTTGCGCATGCACCGCAGTGTCGCCCCCAGACTTCGACACGCGCGGTGCAATGCCATGCCGTCTTCAGAGCCTCTTGCCGCCCTCGTTGCGCCGCCCTCCAAGCCTTTCTGGGCCCTCTGTGATCGCCATCGACACCCCCGCAGAGAAACTCCAGGTTCCCAAACAAGTGGGTGCGGCGGTGTCTGCCCCCTCAGCGGCACTTATTTGAAAGGTCCAAAAATGCCCCCCCCCCGCAGTTTTCACGCGCTCATGATATATTCCAAAATGATTCTAAATTCACCCCAAAATATTCCACATGTATTCCAGTGCCATTTGCGAAATTCTAAAATATCCCAAAGATACGCCAGTGCCATCTGCGACATTTTCAAAATGCTCCAAAGATGCTCCAGCGCCGTCTGCGAAATTTCATTACACTCCAAGGGTAGTACAGTACCATTTGCGAAATTCTGAAATACTCCGAAGACACGCAAGTGCAATTCGCGAATTTCGAGAATACCCCGAATATATTCCTTTACCATTCTCGCAATGCCAAAATATTCCAGACATGCCCCCAGCGGGGCACTCGGATATTTCAAAATGCCGCAGGACACGCTCACCGAACATTTGCGAGACATCACCCCGGAACGCAGCGCGTTACCATCTTCGACAGTTCCAAATTCTCCATATGATGCCCCCGCGTGTTTTCTGGAAAACACTACCTTCAAGTGGGCCCCGTGACCTTTCCTCGAGAACGCGAATATCTCGCGGCAGTGCCTCCCCCTCTCCCCCCCTTCGCACGAAATCGCGCCACTGCGGCGCATGATGCAGTGGGCTCGCTATGCGTCAGGTCTGCCGAACGCGCGACGCGCATTGCTTATGCGGGGCCCTCTTGGTGTGAACGGCGCTTCGCTATGTTGTTGAGCGCATGTCGTTCCGCGGCGCAGAAGCGTCGCGGCCTCACTTTGCGTGCCCGATCCCGCTGGGGGACAGGTTGTCAACGCGCGCGCATCAAACATGTGATGCGTCCTACGCGCGTTACGCAGCTCCCAGACGAACAAGGGCCGAGACTTTGCATCCATTTGGGGATCCAGTTTGCCCGCGCACCCGCCCTCGTTTTAATGGAAAGGGGTTGCCTTTGGATCGTCTGCACGGTCTGATTGGCTGTTTTCTGGTGGCCCCCCTGGCGCGCCATCTGGGCGCGCACTGCGTCTGTCGCTTGTCCTCGAAGTGAGCCCTGTGGCAACGTACCGCGCGGAGCCGGCTGAGTGCACGGCCGGGTCGGTTCGCTATCGGGCGAACGCGAAGCCATTGAATGTCTATCGGGGTTCTCTTGTAGCCGCATAAATGCGGCCATAGTTTACGCGGCGTTGGAAAAAAAGGCGCCCATCCTGTCTGCCGCGCAGGGCGCTGTGGATTTTACGCGCGCCGAAATGCGCAAGGGGAACATCGAGATAACAAGGCAATTCTCCAGCATGGACCGCGGTTTTTCCGATGTATTTCTGGAGTATTCCCAAAAGTATTGTCACACGTGCTTTTACAATCAAGAAAAACATGTTTTGACTATGTTTAATTTTGGTTCCAAAGAGCATCTGTAGGAGGACATGCCCGACATAAGAATAACGCTACCCAGCGGGCGGTATCGCCCAATAGCGCCCATAGTGCCCAGTAGTGCCGTACAGCGTTCAATCAGCGCCCAATTTCGACCAATGGCGCCCAATAGAACCACTCGAGGGAGATGCATCGTGTTCGCTTTGCGCGCGGTTGAGCGCGCTCATGGGCGCCCTGAGGACGACCAAAAGTTTCCGCGAGTTGCTTGTTGATCATATTTTCATGTTTTCGGGCTCGCTCCATCTACGGTGTTTGTCCCGCAAGGCTCCTGACGCAGATCTATGGTTTCGTGTCCGCCTCGCGCTGACTGGCACAGGGCCCAACGATGTCTCGGTGACGTGGTTCCCATCGCGTGCGGATCCTGATTCTCCCGTGCTGTCGGTTGCCAGGCGCCTTCGTGCCATCGGCAGGGGCTTTACCAACGAGGTCAGTTGCTGCCGCGGCTCAGAAGTCCTAGGGTGGAGCGTTGGCGGGCCAGCGGGCGCCCGCCGCGGACTTCGGGGACACTACGGCGTGCCCGGTGTGGTTTCGGGCTTCCCAGGCCCTCCAGCACTCGATCCAGGCCGCCCCGTGGGTCGCTGTGTGGCCCCAGACGGGGCGTTCGGTCCCCAGCAAGTTGTAGAAGGCTCTTCGCAAAAGCTCACACTGTTTGGTCCGTTCAGGGCCAGGTCGGTCTGCGCTCCGTGTGACTCCATTTTTGTTTTTCTCCTCCCCCTTCTTCTCCAAGGTTTGAGGCCTGTGATGGACCCTGTGATGAGGTGCAGCAGTCAGTGCCTGACTTCAATGTGCGCGGGCTTGTTCGGGCTAGTAGCGCGGTGACGGCGGGGGCTCTCACGCTGCATCGCAGTCACCCGTTATATATTTGGCCAGCGCATGTGCTCCATCTCTGCGGCCGTTGATCCCAGGCAGCTCGTTGGCGAGCGCACCCTTTCGATTTCGATGCAGAGTCATGGAACTTTACCGCGGATCAGCGAAGACCTTCTTCCTGGCCGCAAAGGCCCATCAGCCTCCGCTGCCGAGGGGCAACCTCCGACAGAACCGACCAAGTCCAGCCGCGGCGGATGGAGTTCAGGAGGCCCGAGAAGGAAACAATCGTGCTGCTCCCCTCTTCTTGTTTCAATTTGCCAATTCGTGAACTCGTATCTTGTCTACACACATGCACACCCCTCATCCCCTCATGTATGCATGCCCGTATGCCTGTGTGTACGTAAATGTGAATGTGTGTGATTGTATGTGTATGCATTTATGTGTACGTGCATAGGCCCCAGAGCTGTCGACGCCCTCCCGTGGAACAGCTCTTCGTCCCATCTAGTCTTCGTTGATGGTCCTGGCGGGAGCCAGAAACCGACCCCGATGCCGACCGTTGCGAACGCAATATTCTTTAAAGACGCGGGAGTTCCAGGACAGGAGCCCCCAGCCAGTGATCCCCCCCGCGCTTGTCCTGGAGCGCGCTCTGACCAGCGCCCCAAGGCGAATCCGGCCGCTCGGCGGCGCCCGCCCCCTTCCCATATGGAGCCCCTAGGAGGCCCGAACTCTGTAGGCGTAGGACGGCACGTATATATAGTGAACCTCTTCGCAGGGGCGTAAGTTCCCCAGCCTCTCTGAGATGTGCCCCCTCTCGGGAGAGCCCGTCTTGTACAGCTCTTGACCGCTGAGGAGCACACTCGGGACCCATCGTCCTTTCTCCTCCCCGCGGCCGCGAGGATGCGCACAGTGCTCCCGATATCCGACGTCACGAAAAACATGCGACGCCTCGCCCCTCGGCTCGCTCGGCGCTGGCGCCGGTATCGGCGCCGTCTGTGGACGGCGCCGCTCGCCGGGGTGGCGCCGCTGGCCGAAGGCGCCGCTCGGCGTCGGCGTCGAAAGCGGACGGCGTCGCCACGCTTGTCGCTGTCGGCGTCGGCGCTGTCGGGGCTGTCGGCTCGGGGGGCCTAAACACCCAGAGTCCCGCGCGCCGTGGCAAAAATCACGGCGGACGGTTTTTGTTGTTGCTGTCTTCGGCCCCTGGGGGCCCTTCGCTTGGCCCTGGGAGCGTCCAACAACGACCAAGAATGCAACGCAGATCCGGGTGAATGGGTCGAGACCCTTTGGACTCGGAGGCTGCGGCCCTCGTTGCGTCGCCCTGCAATGCGCCCCCCCCCCCCCCCCCTGTGGGACGTTTCCAGGACCCGCGCGCGGTGCTCTCTGGAGGCAGCCTGGGCCTGCCTGGAAGTGCTGGGCCACCTTGGGCTGGGGCCAGCTCCCAAGCTTCCCGCGGCGGCGAGGAGGTGTACAGTGGCCCCGACATCTCGTTCACGAAGGCGGCGCTGACCCCAGGCATGGTCTACCAGTTCCGCGTCTCGGCGGTCAACGTCATCGGGGAGGGCCCCCCGAGCGCCGTGCGGCAGGCGAGCGCCTGCGGGGGGGGTGGTGCATCAGCAAGACGCGAGCGGGCAGGCGCGCGCTCGCGCGCGCCGATCGCCTGGCCTCGCAGATGCATGTGGGCGCTAACACTGCTTTTGGGTTCGATCTTTCGGTCTGGGCGGTTTCTCGCTTGACTCGTGATGCGAACGGCACGCGCGCGAGCTGCAGGACCAGCACCGACACGTGTTGAAGTTGGAAAGGACGAGCAAGATGCATGTGGGCGCCAGCCGCCACGGCCGGTGGGTCTCCACGCAGTGTCACCGAGATGAGTGGGTCGGGGCGCACGTGACGGTGGTCAGTGCTGGCGGGCGTCAGCTCACCGCCTCTGATCCGCACGTGGAGTCGACCACCCCTCCCGTCCCTCCGCTGAGCTGGATTCGCGCGTTGGCTGACCCGGGCTCGCGCGTACCCGAATGGATGTTTCGGCAGCGCCCCAGAAGGGTGGCAGAACAGTGGAAGGACATCTTTCCCTTCACGAGGGGGCACGTGGGAAGTTGCCAGGAAATCGCAACTTTTCTGCGTCGGTCTGGGCCAGGGCCTGCTGAGTACCCATCAGGTGCTACGGTCAGGATATTTGACCTAGCGTGTAGCTCGGCCACTTCTGGCCCACCACGCTTCGTCGCGACACGCAATCCACTTCCGCATCCCCAAGTGTCAATGTCACGCGCTGTTCCCAGCCTTCCCCCTCGCGGAGCGGAGCGACACGCCATCCGCTTGCACGGCGTAGCGTGTTGCTAGGGCCGCCGCGTCGACACGCTATGCAGAAATTCCTGACCGTATCAGGGCAGCGCTCATCCACCACGTTGGGGTCATGCGGTCGTCCGGGCTGTTGTGGTAAGATCCCGTGACACCGGAAGGGCCTTGAACCTTGGCGTTCCCCGCGTTCGCTCCTGCGAGCGCCGCCCGCGTCGAGCGTCTGTTTCCGCTCCCATGTGTGTGCGTGTGTGTGTGTGTGTGTGTGTGTGTGTGTGTGTGTGTGTGTGTGTGTGTGTGTGTGTGTGTGTGTGTGTGTGTGTGTGTGTGCGCTCCCGTTTCTTCCACGTGCACGAGCGGTTATGGCCGTCTTTCTACGCGCGGCTGCCTCTTCCAGTCCACCCGCCTGCTACTCCAGGTGGAATTCGACTAAGCGTGCTCTGGTTGAGTGCTCGCGACGGTGCCGCGACCTCGGCGCTGGAGGAAAACATGTATGTGTGTGTGTGTGTGACTGTTCGTTGATTTCTCCACCTGCTGCACACCGTCTTCAGTGCCTGAGGCCGCCTGCTCGCCCCTCGCCCGCCGACTCGGCGGTTGGGCCGCATCCTTCCTCCTCTGCGAGCGCGCCCCGTTTTAGCTCTCGCTGCAGTGACGTCACCTGGCTCGCTGGCCAGTCGCTGCTGGTCTCCTCAGTGCGGTGTGCACTGCCTCGCATCTACCACCTCCCCACTTTTCTCTGTCCGCCTCGCTGCCCGCGCGCCTCCCGTCTGTTCCCGCCTCAGTGCTCGCGGCTCTTTTCATTCGCCCACGCAGTCAAGACGAAGAAATATGCAACAGCTTGGGTTCGGAAGGGACGCGATGTTCATCAGGTCCTTCCATGGTTGTTCCACGTTCGCCCTCCTCGAGCACGCAGGCGCTGTGGGTGTAGAGCAGGGTTTCGTTTTTTGTTTATCGTTCCTGGACGCAGCCGGACTGCACCTCACCTCGGCGCCGTTTTGGCTGCACGCTCCGAGCGGAAGCCGTCGGAGTACAGGGTCAGGTGTCCTCTCTCAGAAAACTCCCCACCCCCTCGCGTCGCGGAAATAAAATGGCGGACAGTGTTTGTTGGTAACTTTCGTCCTCTGGGGGCCATCGCGGGTCCGGGGGAATGGGTCCATATCGCGGTCTTTTCGGTCTCCGGTGGCCTCGCGGCCGTTCGGCTCAAGACTCCAGATTTTTCAGCATCGCAATGGACATTGGCTACAGTTGTCCTGGCATAGCCAGAAGATCCATTGCGGAGTGGTCGCCCCCAGAGGTCCTATCATGGGTGGAGAGCTTCTGTGGTCCAGCGCCGCGGTTCCTGGAGGAGGAGATGGACGGCGAGGCGCTGACGCTTGCGAGCGTCGAGCAGCTCATGGCGCTCGGGCTGAAGCGCGGGCCCGCCATCAAACTGCGCGCCAGGGTCGAGCAGCTGGCGGGCGGCGGCCCCGAGGGCGGCTTGCCCACGGGCAGTGGCACCCCGCTAGCGAACAGCACCTCGCTTGGCGCCGATGACAGCAGCGTCGGGCGGAGGCTTTCGTCCTCATCGCTTGGCTCCGACCCCCAGTCACTGGGACGCCTCGCGCACGAGATCGGCGACGGGCCCACGCCCGTGGACCCCAGAGCGAGCCCCGGACCTGCCGGGCCCATGGCGCTCAGGGGAGGAGAAGACATCGCTACCGCTGCTCGTCCTGGAGAGCCCTCACCACCACGGCTGGATGCTCCAGAGAGAACCCTTGCAGAGAGGTCCAGAGAGCAGCGGCATCGGCAACTTCTCGTCCCCCCAGGCGCCCCCCTGCTACCTAGTCTACAACGTCAGCGACTGGCTGAGCCAGCAGGGCGGGCCCGCCGCCTTCGAGCCTCCAGCGCCTCTTGGCGCCCCCGCGCTCGGGGCCACGGGCCTGCCCCCGCTTGCAGTTGGCGCCCTCGCCGGCGACCGCCCCGTCTTGGGCCCGAGCGGCGCCGCGGCGCCGCCGCCCGCGCCGTGCTCTGAGCGGCCTTCGGCGCTCGCCGCGGCGGCGCCGCCCTGCCGCGTGGGCCCCACGGCGGGCCCCGGTGGCGCCCTGGCCGCGCGGCCTGCCGCGCGGGGCTCCGGGCAGCGGGCGGCGCCCGCGGCGGGCTTCCAGGCCTCGGAGTCCACTAGCTATACACCTGCACCACGCTGCCGTCTCTTTCGCGCCCGCCCTTCTCGGGCCGGACGAAAGGGTAGGATAGGGAAAGGGGGGGTACGAAATCTGCTGCGTGCAGCTGGTTTCCGCCCTGCCGCTGCGCCCATTCCTGGATGCATGGGCGTCTCCCGGCGCCAGGAGGCGCCAGGACAACCAGCTGCGTGAGCTGATTCTCGACCCTACGCGTTGACATCCTACCCTTTCGTCTCCCGCAATCTTCCCTCTTCGCTGTCTGCCCCTTTCTTCGCCTCTTTGGCTTCACGCGTCACCGACTGCACGTTTCGTAGAGCAAGCTCTGGGACCTCACGCTTGCCGATGGATGGGTACACCGTCGGGAACTTCGGCTTTGCGTGTCGCGTCGACGGTTCTTGCCCACCGCGCTTCGGTGCGACACGCCATCCACGTCACTATAGTCCCTGAGCGTCAACGCCCCGAGCCCCGAGCGAGCCTTTCCAGCTTTCCGCCCCACGGAGCGGAGCGACACGTTGTTCGCTTGCAAGGCATAGCGTGTTAGTAGGGCCGCCGCTGCGACACGCTAAGCACTAGCTCCCGACCGTATGCCTTCCTGCCCAAGCCAGGAGGGCGTATGCACCGATCTTTGACCCAGCATGAGCCCAGCTAGGATCTGCGCAGGTGTATAGTGCATGGTTGGCGTCCTCCCAAGGCCCGCGTGGCCTTTCACTCGGAGGGCACCCGCGGCGACGTCCAGCCTCTGCTTGTGCTGGCCACGGCGCTGAGCCAGAGGGGGCACATGTGCATGATGTTCCTCGACCGCGGCATGTGCGCGCTGGCGAGGACGTGGGGTCTGGAGGCCACGGAGGTGCGGCCCAGCAACATCGAGGAGCAGATGGAGTCTGAGGAGGTCAAGAAGGCCGGGAGTACTGGCGACTTCCTGGCTATGGCCTGTGCAGGAAAGGATGTCCGAGATCAGGCAGAGGGCGCGCAGGCGGAGGTCGCCCGAGCGGCCAAGGAGAAAGTCTCGGCCTTCCAGCCGGATGTCTTCGTCCAGACGTCTTCCGTCGGCTGGGTGCAAGAGTGGGCGGCCGCGGCCGACGTCCCCCTGGTGAGCATCTGGCTCCAGCCCTGCTCCCTTCCGTCGGAGTCCTTCCGGCCCTCGGCGCTCTTCAGAGCCTCGCTGCAGCCAGGCCAGCCGACGATGGACCTGTGGGCGAAGCAACTACAGTTCTGCCTGCGGCACGCGCTCCTTCGCGAGCAGAAGTGGCTTCGCGAGCACGCCGCGGGGGAGACCCTGGACGAGGCCATCGCGCATGGGCGCCTGGTGTCGGCGGACGACGTCTTCGACCAGTTCTGCAACATCCCGGACCTGAACCAGCTGTACATCTGCGCCTGGAGCAAGGCTCGGGGACCCCCCCCAAAAGGTGCGGTGGCCACACCTTGTCAGTGAGGATTCGCAGCGCCCGCACGGTTTCGGGATTATCGGGTCGTTCTCCGAGGACGTCTCTGGCGACTGGGGCCTCCGAGGCCCCAAAACCGTGCGGTGACAGATCGTGCGGTGAGGTCTTTGGGGATTTTGAGGCCATCGCGCGGGCCTGTCGTTCCCCCTAACGTTTCCGTCTCGTTTTCGGGTCATGAGTCGGTTCCGGGCACCCCTGGGAAGCTCTCGGCGAGGCGCAGCTGCTGGAAAGCACCCCAAGGCCAGAACGCCGCCGAAAGCCGACGAGACGTCCGACAAACACGCGCTCCCTTGGAAAACCACGCGCTCTGTCACCACACTGTCTTGGGGTCCCCGCAAGAGGCGCTGTTCGCCGCCCCCCCCGACTGGCCGGAGACGGAAAACCTGATGATCGTTGGCAGCTTCAGGCTGCCCGCCGCCCAGGAGGCCGCCCTCCTGGAGGCGGGAGAAAGAAAATTCCCACGACTCCGAGGCGCGAATGTGTCCATAACCACCGCATGGGGGACCGATCTTCGGGGACTCTGTGGCATCGGAGGTCTAGAGGTTAGCACCACCACCATCATCGGCGGTGTGTTTCCACCGAGGGAATATGCTCCTAAGCAATCGATCTCCGTGATGGTGGTCATCTTCGGGCATAGTTGGTGGCTGAACGCTTATTACCAACACCAACATTCAGGATCGTCTTCCTCCGGTGGATGCCCCCCCTTGTGTCGGTGTTGCTGCCCATTTGCAAGCCTGCAGTGGCGGGGGCTGTAGCTGGATGCATTCGGCCCCCCTGGGGCCAGACTCCATAGCCACATCTTCCGCCCCTTGCACCTGGGGTGGGGTATCGATCTTCGGGGACCCTGGTGGGCGTTGGACCTGGATGTATTCGGCCCCCCCCTGGGCCAAAGGATGTCCATATCCACCTTCCCTGCGCCTGGGGTATCGATCTTCGGGGACCCTGGTGGGCAGTGGACCTGGATGTGTTCGGTTCGGCCCCCCCCTGGGGCCAACATACATCCACATCCACCGCCCCTGCACCTGTTGGATCGATTTTCGGGGACCCTGGTAGGCGGTGGACCTGGATGTATTCGGTTCCCGTGGTGCCAAACTGTATCCACATCCACCGCCACTGCGTCTGGGGGATCGACCTTCGGGAAACCAGGGGAGATGGCAACAGAAGGGAGGACCAGAGCAGCAACGGCGCGCTCGCAGCCTCTCTCGTTCCGCCTTTCCGGGGGTCGCGAGCGGAGGCTGCTCCCCGCCCGGGCGCGCGGGCGGTGGATAGGAATGCACTCTCTGGCCCCCCCTGGGGCCACACGATATCCACATCCACCGCCCGCGGGGGGCCGAGGACGCCGGTTCCCCATGCGGCGGGCATGGGTACGGTAGGCTCGCGCGGCCCATGGCGCGCCAGCAGCGCCGGCGAGGGCGTTCAAGGTTGAATTCCGCATGATCGAACGACGCGGAAGCACTGAGGGGCACGGTAACGCCACAGGAACCGACGGAATTCAACCTTGAACGATCGGGGCCGTGATTGGTTCAAGAACGCGGTGTCAGAACTTTTGCGCGCGCCGACGCCGCGCGAACCTACCTCAGCGACGAGCGAAGGGGGGAAGTGAGGAGGGGCGGACCTTCTCAGAAGGCTCGGAAGTTCCCCGGCCTTCTGAGAAGTTTTCTAAGCCTTCCTCGAAGACAGAACACCGCTCAGAAGGCGCGAGGGTTTCTCAGAAGTCCCGCCGCCTCTGAGAAAGCCCTCTCCTTCTCACTTCCCGCCTCGCTCGCCGCCGACTGCCGTGCATCCCCGCCTCGTGCACACTGCACAGACCTCCACCGTCTTGGACCGAAAGTCAAGCTGGAGGTTCTTCGCCGCGTGCGGCCTCAGCCTCTCTCCCTGGCCAGACCAGGCGCGGGCCGAGAGCGCGATGAGGTTGCAGCTTTTTTTTCCCCTCGCGGGCTCTCTGGGCGCACCGCTCCTGGCCGAGCTCCGTCCCCGGGCCCGTCCCGCGTCGTGAAGAAATATCGTGGCGGGAGTTTTGCAGCTGCTAGGTTCGGGCTCTGGGGGCCATCGCCGGGCCCTCATCCGGCGAATCCGGCATCTGAACCCGGCCGAATTCCAAACCACTCCAAATTGGCGCGCTCGCGTCCATGGGACATCCTAGTAACCCCGGAACCTCCCCAAGGAGGCCCTCAGAGGCCCCCCTCTTCCGCTAATTACCGGCGAGATCCGGCAGATACGGCGAACCAGGCGACAAATTCCAAACTGGCGCCCTCGCGTGGGACATCCTCCAACAAACAAAAAGAAACTGCCCCGTTCCCAACGAAGTCCGGGAAATCCAGCGAATCCAGCGACGAATTCCAACCAGCGCCCTTGCGTGGGACATCCTCGGAGCAAAAACACCCCCCGAACTGCCCCTCGGAGGCGCTCAACGGCCCCCCATCGCGAGATCCGGGAAATACGCATTCAGGGGGGCCTCTGAAGGCCTCTTTGTCTCCAGGGGCGGTTTCTCTGAGGATGTCCACTGAAGCGAGGGCGCCGGTTTGGAATTCGTCGCCGGATTCGCCGAATTTCCCAGACCTCGCCGAACATGGAACAGGGGGCCTTTGAGGGTTTGGGGAGTCTCCGGGGGCAGTTGTTCAGCAGCATCCGCATCATCATCATCATCATCATCATCATCATCATCATCATCATCATCATCATCATCATCATCATCATCATCATCATCATCATCATCATCATCATCGTCATCATCATCATCATCATCATCATCATCATCATCGTCATCATCATCATCAGCAGCAGCAGCATCATCACCATCATCAGCAGCATCATCACCAACATTATCATCATCATCATCATCATCATCATCATCATCATCATCAGCATCATCATCATCATAATCATAATCATTATCATCATCATCATCATCATCATCATCATCATCATCATCATCAGCAGCAGCATCATCATCATCATCACACAGCCCACACGCGTTTTTACACCATTTCGTAGCACCCCTCACACGCTTCGTGGCCCCATACGGAGTTCTACCTATGGCCCGAGTGCCGCGGCCCGCATGGCTTCCCTATACCATTCTGGCGCACCCTTCACACTTTCCGTGACCCCATGAGGAGCTCCATCTAAGGCCCCAGTGCCACGGCCCGCATGCCTTCTTCACACCATTTCGGCGCACCCCTCACGCGCTTCGTGGCCTCATACGGAGCTCCACCTAAGGCCCCAGCGCTGGGGCCCGCATGCCTTTCTTCACCGTTTCGGCGCACCGTTGCATGTTTTGTGGCCCCGTGAGGAGCTCCACCGAGAACAATACGGTGGGGGCGTCGGTTAGCGTGTGTGCCCAGTAGGTTTCAGCCCTTGGACGATTGATTATCTGATAAGGGCGGCGGTGGTATCCATGGCCGTTCCACGAATGGAGCTCCGGACCCTGGATTCCTTATCCAATAGTTCCTTCCCCCATGCCCTCACCCCATTCAAAATTACGGTACTCACAAGTGCATGGTTGCAGTTGGGGTCTTTTGCCAAGGCAGTTCCAGCCTCTGGGGGGCCGCGCATGGAAGAAATCACACCCTCGGATGCTTGCTGAGGTCCCGACCCGACCCCTTCCTGGGGGTAGCTTTTGTCCTAACTCCGTCTTTGATGGCCCCAGGGCGCGACAACGGGCTCTGGAGGCCGAAACGACAGAGAATCACCCAGGGTGAAACACTTTCTAAGTCCGCGGGCGCCAAGTCGTCCAGGACAGTCAGACGCCGGTCAGCAAACCAGGGTGCATGGGGAGCAAATTGAGGCACCAATCGAACAGGAACAAAGCGTGAGCGTGCTGAAAAACATTTAGGAATGCGCCGCCCAGAACTTAGGGCCCCTGAGATCTTGGCGCCAGAATTTGTCGCATCCGCAGATGTTTGTCATGTTGCTCGATTCGGCTCGAAACATGTTGCAGAAAGATGGGGTCTATTGGGATGCAATTCTTGGGAGGTTGAATTCAGCATCGGCGCTGGTATATTCGTGGTCGAAAACCGACCAAATCTGGCCAAAGCTGAATCCAGTTCATTCGGCTTAGTCCCTGGCTGAATCTGGTCTGGTCCAGCTTAGTGGCCCCTACTATCTGGCATCATTGCTTTTGATTGTTCTTACGAAGACTTCCAAGAAGTTGCTTCCTAGTTGATGGCTTCCGTTCGGACTTCCTACGATAGTGCGATCGTGCATGTCGTGACGTCGGATCTGGCTGTGTGAGTGGATCTCTCGGACTCCTGTGCAGGGCCCCGGCGGCGGCTTCGGCGACCAGGAGCAGCGGAGGCGCTGCGAGGCCTCGCAGGAGGAGAGACTGGATAAGCATGAACTTTCGGAGCTCTGCGCTCATGTTTCAGATCAGCGCAGGACCCCCCTCCATGTCGCGCGGAGCGCGCCATGGGCGGCGCCGGAGGCGCCGCCAGGGTATCCAGCGCCGATCCAGGAAATCTGCGCGGAGATCCGAAAGTTTTTGTTTTGCAGCCAACTCGCTGGAATAGGGACAACTCTGAGCCCTGGAGGGGCTCTGGTTTGGGCGCCGTTCTTTCTCCTTATGGTCACCACCCGCCTGACCACCAGAACCCAACCCGAAGGCCCCAATTTGTCCTCCATTCCGAGTGGGGGGTGTCGCGAGGAATATGGGATTAGCCTGGCGAATGACCTAACCATATGCAGTTGTGAGCAACGCAGTTCTAGTATCGTCTTCGGTGGAGCTTTCTATCGGGCCACGAAGCGTGTGAGTTGTGTGCCGAAGTGGGTGCGGCGGGCGCATGCGAACGCAGCCACTGGGCCCTTCGGTGGAGCCCCCTATACGGCCACGACGCGTGTGAGGGCTGCGCCGACATGGATATGCGGCGAGCGCATGTGAACGCAGCCACTGCGGCCTTAGGTGGAGCTCCATATGGGGCTACGCGACGTGTTGAGGGGTGTTCCGAAGTGGGTGCGGCGTCCCCTCCCAGTATTTGGGTCTTCGGGTTGGGGTGGGGTGGTCTGGTAGGTAGTCACGATGACCGTGTGCCGTTTGTCGGCCCTTCGAGAGGCATTCCTCGCCGCGGGGCCGGCCCCCGTCTACGTCGGCTGGGGCTCCATGGTCGTGGGCTCCGCCGCGCAGATGTGCCGCCTCGCCGTGGGGGCCCTCCGGGAGGCGGGGATGCGCGGCGTGGTGGCCCTGCCAGGGAGAGGGGCCGATGTTTCGAGGCTTCGAGACTTCGAGGATCGAGGATCGAGACTGAGGCTTGATGCTCGCGGATCGAGACTCGAGACTCGAGGCTTTGCCCCGCGTTTTCAATCAGCAGCGCCCCGTGTCCTCTCCTCTCCTCTCCTCTCCTCTCCTCTCCTCTCCTCTCCTCTCCTCCTCTCCCTCCTCTCCTCTCTTCTCCTCTCATCTCCTCTCCTCTCCTCTCCTCTTCTCTCCTCTCCTCTCCTCTCCTCTCTTCTCCTCCTCCCCTCCTTACACACCTGCCCCTGCCATCCGCATATCCACGTCGGCGCACCCCTCACACGTTTTGTGGCCCTATAAGGAGCTCTACCGAAGGCCCCAGTAGCAGGGTCACATGCGGCTCCCCGCCCACCACATGTCCATGTTGGCACACCCCTCACACGCTTCGTGGCCCCATATAGAGCCCCACCGAAGGCCCCAGTGGCAGGGCTCGCATGAGGATCCCCGCCCCTTTCGACACACTCTCAGACGCTTCGTGGCCCATAGGCAGCTCCAGCGAATGCCCCAGGGGGGTCCACATGCGGCTCCCCGCCCATTTCGGGACCTCTCATACGCATCGTGGCCCTATGGGCAGCTCCACCGCAGGCCCCAGCGGGAGGGTCCACATGCGGCTCCGCGCTCATTTCGGCACTCACCTCACACGTTTCGCCCCAGTGGCAGGGTCCACATGATGCGGCTCGCCGCCCAGTTTTCGTGGTCTCATAGGGGGCTCCACCGAAGGCCCCAGTGGGAGGGTCCACATGCGGCTCCGCGCCCGTTTCGACACACCCCTCACACGTCTCGTGGCCCCATTGGGAGCCCCAGCGTAGGCCCCAGTGGCAGGGTTCACATGCGGCTCCCCGCCAATTTCAGCACGCCCCCACATGTTTCGAGACCTCAAAGGGAGCTTCATCGAAGACGATGTGCACATCCTCGGTATTCACAACTCCACATGGCTGGGTCGTGACTGAAAACTGCCCCTGGGCAAGGAGTAGGTTTCTTTTGGGCCGTGCATTCAAAAGATCTCATTGTCGGATCTCTGGGACCGAGGCTTCGAGGTTCGAGGATCGAGGTTTGGCCCTGCACTGGGGCAGTATGGGACCTCCGAAGACGTCCAGAATTTTTGTCCAGAGACCTCTGGGGGGTGCCTGAGGTTTTTTGTCGGAGGGAGGCCTGCCTCCGGGGGCCTTCCCCAGGCCTCTAGGGTTAGAACTAGTGGCTCAGGTTAGACTGATGGCTCAGGTTCGAATAATGGCTCTAATCTTCAATTGCGTTGCCTTCGTAGCTTGTGTGGCTCAGAGCGCTTAGCAAAGCCAGGCCACTCCCTGGTTGCAACGTCCGAAGAAGTCACAGCACAGTCCAGTTGAACACATGTCTTCTCGCATTCATCCAGGGGGAATCCCTAGCTACAGACGGCGTTTCTCTCCCCCAGGGTCCCCTTTTGAGCCCTTTCGGCGTCTGAGCGCATCCGGTCGCCGAACGGATTGAGGATCGGGCTCATTCGGCGGTCGAATGGTATTAGACGCCGTCTGGTCTCGAACGGGACCTGAGGGGTTCCGTTCCCCTCAGGACTCTACTTCTGCCGCGTACAGTTTTACTGTACGACCAATTCCATTATAGAAACATTGAGCTGCAATTGGACAGCCTGAGTCCCGGCCGCCCCAGGAGGGCCCAAGAGAGCCAGGGAAGGCCGAACGAACCCAGAGGCCCCCAAGGGATCCCCAAAGCGGCCCAGACGGGCCAATGGCCGCCCAGCAAGGCCGCAGGACGGAGCAGCAGGCTCCCTCGACGGCCCCAGGTAGTTCGAAGAAGAGCCTCCGAAGGCCTCGAAGCGGAAACGACCATTGATTTTCCATACGTTGTTGCACCTTCCGCCGTCTTCAGCTGCAGGCTATTTTTCTTCCCCAATCCTTGAGTTCCGCCCGAAAAGTTTGGCCGTTCAGAAAACGGGGGAACCGCTGGGATACACCCTAAGGGGGGTATTCGACGCACCCCTATCGAGGATGGGGACGGGGATTGGGGTCACCAGATCCCCCCCCCGTATTCGAAGCCTCGGCCACGGCCCACCAGAGGCCATTCAATATGGCCCGCAAGGCGTCCCAGAGGTTCCAAGAGGCCCCAGGAGGGGCCCCGGACGGCTCAAGATGGGCCCCATGTAGCCCAAGTTGGCCCCAAGACGCCCCACGAGGGACCCAAGAGGGTCTCCAAACAGCTGTCGAGAGCCCCAACGCAGCCTGTGGATTGTGGCTTGGCCTCAGGGGTGAGTGGCGGTGTATAGATTACCACGAACAGCCAACGATGTTGCACACCGCCACTCGTTCTGAAGGCATCGGACTAACTCAATGGCTGGTGTCTGTGTGTAGCTGTGTTGTGGGGTGCCTTCCCAAACATCTGACGCTGCGATTTTTCGACCCGCAGGCGCCAGAGGTCTCGATCCTTTGCCCGGTTGTAGGCTTCCCATCCCAGGTTGATTTTGATCGTCCCAGGGCCCGACAAGCGACACCCCGAACAACCGAAGATTGCGAGCAACACGCTGCGATTATTTAAACCAGTCGGATGGTCTTCGGTCCATACCTCCGGCCTCTGGCGGCCGTTCGGGACGATCCGGGCGCCCTGGGAAAGCTCCCGGCGAGGCGCAATTTTTGGGAACACGTTCCAAGGCTGGAGCACCGCCGAGAACCGACGAAAACGCGCCTGAAAACCTTGAACCTCGATCCTCGGAATTCCGAGAGCCTATTCCCACCTACCCCCCGCCTCGAAAGCCAAGGTGGTGGGCGGATGGGCGCGACTCTCTGCCGGCCTGCTCGACGACGACCCCGCGCTGCAGGCCTACTGCGAGAGGGAGGTGCTCTTCCTGAGCGCGGCTCCGCACGCGTGGCTGCTGCCGCAGTGCGCGTGCGCCGTCCACCACGGGGGCATCCGGAGGGGAACAAAACAGCGGCGTGCACTCAGACGTGGACCTCCAAGGTCTTCACAAAAACGAGACGGAGGTTCTGTTGTTGTTTTGGGCCTCCGAGGGCCTTCGCTGGACTCGGACGTCCGTCCTCTGGGACGTGCGAGCTTACCTTGCGACTCATGGATTTGGGTTCCGCGTCTCGGCCGCATGCGCAGGACAGCCTTGCCAGGTTGACGTGGCTACGGTCGCTAGGTTGACGTGGCTACGCCGGGCTCGCATGTTGGCTCGCCTATCGCAGGGTGGCCCCAGGTGACTCCAGGCTTGCCCAATCCAGATTCTTGGGAAATAACCCAGACCTCCAGGGTCTCACAACAGCGAGACGGAGGTTTGTTCGCCGTGTTCGGCCGCTGGGAGCCCTCGCCGGGCGCTGGGACCGCCAAGAAATTGCTCGGGATGAAAATCAGGCCCTGGGGAGTCGGACCTTCCAGGGACCCCGCATGGAAGAAATCAGGACACCGGATCTGTCGGTATATTCTGAGGTATTCGCGCACTTTTCGGGTGGGCGCTGGGCCCCCTGCCCGCTCCCTGGCGGTGCCTCCAGGCCCCTCCTGGCGCGCTCCGCTCGCTGGGGAGGGTGCGTCAAGCGCGAACCGGACCTCCGAACGTCCACGTTTCTAAGAGAGCGCTAGTGGGTGCCCCCCTAATTGAGAAGGGTGCGCGTGCTCGCACAGCCCCCCCTCCTCCCTTTCCCTTCAAGGGGGGGGGGAATGACGATCTTCGGCTCTCCTCCCCGCCCCTTGCACCCCCCCGCTCCTTGAAGGGGGGGGGGGGGGTTCGGACCTCCCCTTTGCGCTGGACAGGGGGGTGGTATTTCGTACCCCCCACCCTCCCCCCCTTTGCGCTGGAGAGGGGGGCCTCGGGGAGGAACGTCTGTGTGTTAGGCTAGAGGATCGTGAGCGGCATAGATCTCCATCGTGGAATGTTAACCATGGGTGTGCAGAAAAATACGCTACCGAGGAACTCTACACACTTAGTTTAAATATTAGGTGTTTGCTTATCATTGCCATATATGCGCAGTCCTGCGTTCTGAACCGTCGTCGTTCATCTCGGAGTACTTCGCGTAGAGCGCATCGGGCCACCAATGCTTAAGTTGGCGGCGGTACGCAGTTAAAGCGGACTGCACCACTCCGTTGGCGAATCTGCGCGAGGTCTCCACGCTGACCTCACCACCCATCTGAACCATTGCCGTTCTCATCGCCAGACATGGGGGTGGCAGCGCGTCCACGGCGATGTTTTGTGGCATGGCTGCCGCGCGCAGGTGTGCGCTGAAATAGGATTTCAGGAACGCCTGCGTGAGAGCGCATGCGCGCGGAGCCGGCTTGAGCCAAGGTGCTTACAGTTCTGGATAAGACACGAGTTCTCGCCCGCGCACCCCCCACCCCCACCCCGCGCGCAGCTTTCAAGGGTCATGGAAATGCCGCGCCAGTCGCGCCTTGGGAGCACGAACCGAGTACCTGGGAAGAGGTCGAGAGCTGCTGGGGCGGTGGAATGATGCTTGAAGTGCCACGCCTGTCACGTTGTGCCTGTCACGTGCGGGGCAATTCGACAGAAAACCAGAACCGTGGCCTGGAGCGCCCAATTCGAATGCCCTGCGGGCCTGCAACGCATGCCCCCTCCAGCACACTCCCTTTGTGGCGTCGAGGAAATGCCACGCCTGCCACGCCCTGCGAGCCTGCCACGCATAGCGCCCCTGCCACCAGCGCACCCCTTGTGGCGTCGAGGAAATGCTACGCCTGCCGCGCCCTGCGAGCCTGCAGCGCACAGCGTCCCCATCACCAACGCGCCCCCTGTGGCGTCGAGAAAATACCACGCCCTGCGAGCCTGCAGCGCATAGCGCCCCCACCCCCAGCGCACCCCCTGCGGCGCGAGGAAATGCCGTGCCTGCCACGCCCTGCCATCCTGCAGCGCATATCGCCCCCACGCCCAGCGCATCCCCTGCGGCGTCGAAAAAATGCCACGCGTGCCGCGCCCTGCAAGCTTGCAGCGCAGAACGCCCCCACCCCCAACGCACCCCCTGTGGCGCGAGAAACTGCCACGCTTGCCACGCCCTGCGAGCCCGCGACGCATAGCGCCCCCACCACCCGCGCACCCCCTGTGGCGTCGAGGAAATGTCACACCTGCCACGCCCTGCGGGCCTGCAGCGCGTAGCGCCCCCACCACCAGCGCACCCCCTGTGGCGTCGAAGAAATGTCACACCTGCCACGCCCTGCGAGCCTGCAGCGCGTACCGCCCCCACCCCCAGCGCACCCTCTGTGGCGTCGAGGAAATGCCACGCCTGCCACGCCCTGCGAGCTTGCATCGCAAAGCGCCCCCACCCCCAGAGCACCCCCTGTGGCGTCGAGAATATGCCACGCCTGCGATGCCTTGGGCGCTCGTGCGCAGACGTTTTAAGTGTATGATGCATTGCGCCTGGCACGCCTGCCACGCCCTGCGAATATTGAGCGGATGTTTTTTTGCGTGTGCATGCGTGCGGCTGTATGTCTCGTGTACGTGCTGTGCCTGTATTGCGCGCGTGTGAGGCGAGGAAGAGGAGGAGAGGAAGAGGAGAAGGGGAAGGGGGATGTGTGTGTGTGTGTGTGAGGAGACGCGGGTGCGACGCAGCAGGGCAGAAAACCATAACCCCACTGAGTATGTGGGGGGCAAACGTCTTGCTTAGGATCGTGAAGGTTGGAGGCTTGACACGGCAATGTCGAAATCAACAGATTTTCATCGCAACGTGTTTTTTAGCAAAGAATCGTGAACGGCACAGACACCCATCGTGAAAGGTTCAGATCGGGCGCGTGCAGAGCCACACGTCGTTTGCATAGGATCGTGAGGGTTGAGGGCTTCAGAGGGCGATGTTGGGATATAGTATCAGGTGTGCGATCGGGATGTGAAGAAAAGCATTTCATGCGAATCGCATCGTAATGGTTGAAGGCCTGGGAAGGCGAGGTTCAGATCAGCAGCTATGCGCCGCATGGTATTATTCCCCAACCCTCCTGCGTTGGGTTCTCCTTCGGGGTACAGCACTGCGACCGCGACCTCCTCCTCTCGCCCCCTCCTGCCGTCCCCTCCTACCTGCCTGCTACCCTGCCTCCTAGCTCGCCGGTCTGCCTGGGAACTCGTTGGGAGGCTGCGAATTACGAAACTGGCGCCACGTCCGAGGGCTCCTGAGGGGTCCAGCGGAGTGACGCCTTACGCAGACCTAGACCTCGCCGTCCGTAAGGGGTTGCGATCGGACATCCGCCGCCATTTTCGGGGCTGCCGAGGGGCCCAGCAGAGAAACGACTTACGCAGATGTATATTAGAGCTCGCCATCCCGTATGGGGCTGAGAGCAGCGAACTTGTCGCCGCTTTCGAGGGTTGCTGGGGGGTCCAGCGGAGTGACGTTTTCCGCTGGCCTAAATTCAACCTCACAATCCCTGGGCGGGGGGCAGCGAACTGCAAAACGATCGGTACTTCCAAGTGCTGCTGGGGGGTCCAGCGGAGTGACGCCTTACGCAGACCCAGACTAAATTTCGCCGTCCTTGCGGGGCTGCGCGCTGCGAACGTGACGACACTTTCGAGGGCTGCTGGGGGGTCCAACGGAGTGACGCCTTACGAAGACATATATTGGAGCTCGCCATCCCAGGGGGGTTGCGAAGTGCGCAACCGTCGCCACTTTCGAGGGCTGCTGGGGATCCAGCGGAGTGACGCCTTACGCAAGCCCAGATTTCATCGCCATCCGTTGGGGGGGGCAGCGAACTGCGCAACGCTGCTGGGGGCCCAGCGGAGTGACGCCGCGCGTAGATTCTGATTAGATCTCGCCATTCCTGGGGGGGCTGCGAACAGCAAAACTGCGCAATGTTTTAGGGCGTTTGGAGGGTCCAGCGGAGTGACGCCTCACGCAGATCTAGATTAGCCCTCGCCATCCCTGGGGGGCTGCGAACCGCGAAGCTGGTGCCATGTTTGAGGGCTGCTGGGGAGTCCAGCGGAGTGACGCCTTACGCAGATCTTGATTCGACCTCGCCATCCTTGCGGGGGGCTGCGCACTGTGCAACCGTCGCCACTTTCGAGGGCTGCTGGGGGTCCAGCGGAGTGACGCCTTACGAAGACATAGATTAGACCTCGCCGTCCCTGGGAGCTGCGAACCGCGAAGCTGTCGCCACTTGTAAGGGCTGCTGGGGGGTCCAGCGGAGTGACGACTTTCGCAGACTTCGATTCGACCTCGCCATCCCTGGGGGGGGCTACGAACTGCGCAAACGTCGCCACTTTCGGGGGCTGCTGTTGGGTCTAGCGGAGTGACGCCTTACGATGACATCTATTAGACCTCGCCGTCCTTGGGCGGCTGCGAACTGCCCAACCGTCGCCACTTTCGGGGGCAGCCGTTTGGTCCAGCGGAGTGACGCCTTATGCAAACCTAGAGTCGACCCCGCCATCCCTGGGGGGGGCTACGAACTGCGAATCTGTGATATCGGGGATATCCTTGAGGACCTCGGTTTAGATTGGGGATGTGCTGAAAAGCATAATCGTCGCATCGGACCGTGAGGGTGAAGGCTTGAGAAGGCGATGGTAACAGCAGCCTGCATGCACCGCCTAGTATTTTGTCCCAATCCTGCTGTGTTGGGTTCTGGTTTTGAGTTAAACTTCTGTGGTATCCAATCGTTCTCCTTCTCCTCCTCCTGCCTCCTCCTGCGCTGCTCCCTGGGGGGCTGCCAGCTGCGCAACCGTCGCAGCTTTCGTCAGCTACTGGGAGGCACCGCGGAGGAAGGGAGTCTGGGAGTCTGCGCACCCAGCGACCTCGCAGCTCCCCGGGGGGTGCGAACTGCGTACCCGTCGCCAGTTTCGTGGGCTCCTGGGAGGCACGGCGTAGTAGGAGAGCACGCGCGCCCAGCCTGGACCTCGCAGCTCCCGGGGGGCTGCGAGCTGCGCAGTCGTCGCCACTTTCATGGGCTCCTGGGAGGCACTGCGGATGCGGAGTAGGGGAGTACGCGAACCCAT